AAAGGGAACTCCAGACAATTATTACAAAAGAGGAGGAGCTGTTTCTGATCGGGTCATGTTGGCACTTTGAAAGTCCGAGGCAAACACGGCTGTAGACTCTGAGTTAGTCTCTGAGGCCAAACCAGACTGAAAGACGAGTGACCATGCTTCATGTAAAATAAGCAGGGCCCAGAGATCAGCACCAAAGCAACGATAGGACTGAGAGGCTTGACATCGCACAGGTTCTCAGAAAAGGTTGAAGGGGAAACAGCAGGAGAAGCACCAGATGCTGTGCTGTAGGCCTGGGAGAAACCCCTTCTTTATCCATTGACCTGGAGATCTACATGAACCAGAGAGGCCCAGAAAATACTAGGAGTGGGGAGGGCCTCCTCAGAGTCAAGACCAGGAAGCAGAATTGGATTTGGCTCATAAGGACCCACTAAGATCCAGTAGAACGACCCCATTTAGTTTATGGAAGTCCATGGTCCCATCTTTCTCCTGCAGAGTGGCTGGTTGGTTTGAACCACTGACCTTGGTCATGCTGCACCACCAGCACGTGTTAGGAAGGCAATTCCAAATTAAAAAACAAATCTACTGCCATCAAGCCAATTCTAACTCCTAGTGGCCCTCTCTAGGGTTTCTGAGGCTGTACATGTCTATGGGAGCAGTCTCATCTTTCTCTTGAGGATTTGAACCGCCAGTCTTTCAGTTAGCAGTCTAAAAACTTACCTGACAGCACCGCACCAGGGCTATGAAGCTGGTGAGCAATAGTCAAAAAATTAAGACCTGACTGCCCCTCAGCCTAGAAATTAGTGATTTTGTTGAGTAGTCTGTACAATCAAGAGTCTTCTAATTTCTCGGTTTTCTTTTTCTATCTTTATGAGTCTATGTGGTTTGCATGAGTTCTTTAGTAAAATGACTCATAAACCTTTCATCTAGTCATCAGCCTGCTTGCCAGAAGGAAATAAAAACTCACAGTGTTTCCACACCTGGGTCAGGTGGGCAGAGGAATAGTGTGCCTCTGGTGGCCAGGAGGGGTGGTGGCAGGAATGCCAAAGCAGACAAGAGCCAGCAATGATGAGGTTGGGGAATGAGGAATCTAGACCCGGCCCCTTCCTGCTTGAGCATCAACAGGAGCTATTTGCACGAATAGCCTTCATTGCCAATTTGGGAAAGCCTCATCACACTGTCCCTGATTCTGACCCACCCCTATGATTGCTTGTTTTTGTATTGTTTTTAGAGCCGGGTGTTGCAGGGGGGCAAGAGCTAGACTGCTTGTTTCAAGGTCGGTGTTTGGAACTCACCAGCTGCTCCTCCAGAGAAAGATGGGGCACTCTGCTTCCCTAGAGATTTACAGCGTGGGAAACCCTAGGGCCAGGTCCACTCTTGTCCCGTAGGGTCTCTATGAGTTGAAATCAACTCGAGGGTGGTGGGCTTGGTTGTTGTCTGGTGCCATAGGGTTGATTCCAACTCATGGGACAGAGTTTAAATTCCTCATTGTGGATTTTTGGCTGTAATCTCTACAGGAGCAGGTTGCCAGGTCTGCAGAGAGCCCTGGGGTGGATTCAAACTACTGACCTTTTGCTTAGCAGCCGAGTGCTTACCTATCATGCCATCCACCCACCATCCAGTCAAGTCTAATTCATAGTGACCCAACAGGGCAGAGTAAACTTGCTCCCTAGGGTTTCTGAGACTGCAAATTATGGGAACGGAAAGCCTCATTTTTCTCCCTTGGGGTGGTTGATGGGACTGAACTGCTGATCTTTCAGTTATTGTCCTAATACATCACCAACTATGCCAACCAGGCTCCTTTATTCTTGCAGAAGGCTGTGGAAATTGATAGCATATTGAAGCTATTACAGATGGGCATGCGTGAGAACCTCCAAGCCAAATTAGCAGTAACGCTTCAACGTTTAGAGAGTTGAGATGCTGGAAGAAGCTTTGAGTTGGAGTTGGGCAGCCCTGGGGGCCAGGCTGTCCTAGTGACCCCGTCTCTTTTCCTCTTTTGAAGACCTCCTTCTTCTCTAGACAATGAAGGGACTTTCTCAAAACAACCACTTGGGATACATTTAGGATTATGACCTACTTAAAAAACCCCACCGCACCTCTTGGAAAGTAACTTCCTCTAGCTAAGATTTTGCCAATATGATTTCTAATGTTTGGGACACAGAGCAGCCCCCTGCTTCCCCTTTGGTTTCTGATTCCGTAATACCAGCTGATGGATTAGGGTCAGGGAACTACAGCTTTCTCCCCATGCACCTATGGCAGACAAATTCTGGATGAGGACAAGGGGACCTGACCATATGCTTACGGCCTTCATTCATCAGAATGGCTTACCTTGCTATTCCTTTTTATAGACTTGAACTTCCTCTTCTCCCTAGCCCACCACCATACAAAACCATATGCCACACTTTGCCTTCAGGTCTCTCAAAGAACAGGTCACCAAGTATAAATTTTCAGGGTGATCACCTTCAGGATAATACTCCTAAGAACGTGTGTGTGTGTGTGTGTGTGTGTGTGTGTGTGTGTGTGTGTGGTGTGTGTGTGGTGTGTGTGTGTGTGTGTGTGTGTGTGTGTGTGTGTGTGTGAGGCATCCTTTTATTCATGCCCAAATACCTCAGGAGTTTCTTGGAAGGAGTTATCCCTCCACGTTCTCCACATTTTTATACCTGACTTTGCCCCTGGACAAAGCATCCTTTCATCCCTTCTCATGGTAGCCCCAGCCAGGTTTTTCTTCCTCCATTTTTTTCTATTTCATCCATAAGTTTCAGGGTTCAACTCCTCCCCTGGGCTGTTAGTGTGATGCTACCTGGGACAGTTTTATCTAAGCTACAAAGTGTGACTCAGTGATGACACCACACAGGGCTGGTGCCAGCCGGGCGGGTTGCCGTATTGCCAAGTAACCCAGTGGTCGAACCAGGTTGAGTTGAGTAATATCCCCCAGTGAGTTCATTAATCACACAGCATAGTCCCTGGTGACTAAAGGATAACCCGCAGGCCTGGTTTGATTGGAGAAGGTGCAGGTGGGGCGGGACTGCATGTGAACTATGAAGACACCCAGCGACACTATCTTCCTCTGATAATATTCACCTGGAGAACACATAGACATCTGCAAGGCAAGATGTAGCCTACTGAAAAGATGAATTGTGTATGCTCAATTATTGCACTTTTCCAATCATCTTAGATTCCCTTTGTTAATAATACCTTGCAACTGTATATAAAGCTATAATTTGGAATTTTTAAAGGGCTACGAGATCAGGGAAGGGCATTCAAGATGGCAGCCAAATGACCTAGAAACTTCAAATTCCATACTGCATTCTCTTTATTCATCTCACTTCAAAAGATTCAAAGGCCACAGCCCACCTCTTCCACTCAAGTCTGGCCTCATCTCCTTGGTAACTATAGCCAACCCAAGGGTCCCAGGTGGCACAGTGGTTATAACACTCACTCCTAACCAAAAGGTTGGTGGTTTGAGCACACCAGCTGCTCCATGGGAGAAAGCAGGCCCACCAGTCTATGTCTACAAAGATCATTGCCTTGAAAACCTCACGGAGGGCCATTATGAATGAAAATCAACTCAATGGCAATGGATTTTGGCTTAGGGTTTAAAACCAACTGGAAATACTACCTATGTTTTCACTGTGACGGGTCTGGGCTGGGACAGCAAAAGCAGTTTTTGAGTGGGTGTGCTATCGTACATTTCTGTTGCTTCCTGGCTAACTTGGCCAGCACGTGCAGATGAGACCACCTCTGCCAGTCACAGTCTGGTGCAATGTTGACATAACTCAATGCAGTAAGCCCCTAATCCTTGGTGAGGCAGATATGGAAAATGTGTGATAGAGAAGCCCAAGGGAGGTTGTAGAGGGCAGGCAGGAAGAGAGGGAGAGAGAGGGGAATGGCTTGTCCAGAAGCCAGCCCTAGAATAAGCCTCACAGGCATATAGGACTCTAAAGATGGTGAAGAACAAGGCAAGGGGAACAGGATGGAGATGTGGACACACGGAGGTGGTCGAGGGCAAGTATTTCTTCCAGAGATATGGAGAAAGCTCTAGGCTGACAAGTAAACTCAGCAAAGAGGGAGAAGGTTTTGGGGGAAGGAGGTTCCTGGCGTAGGAGAAGTATGCTTTTATGAAAGACAGAGTCATCAGGTTTAAGGGTGGGGGTGGGGGGTGGGTTTGATGTGACATAACATATTCCCCATGTGTTTTTCTAATCTCAAATGTTTTCTTCTCTGAAAGGCATCTGGTCCCTGGAGAGCTCAGAAGAGGTTTTTGTTGTTGTTGTTGCCAGGATTATCTTTACCAAGCAATTACAAATAGGCCTGGCCAATCCTGTCTAAGTGGGGTTGAAGTTGAAGAGGTTCAAAGCCGATTTTCCCCAATTATCTGACCACAAAAGAGCTTTTTATCTCTCCTGAGCTTGCTAACTCTGAAGAACCATTCTCAAGTCTCCACGTGTTTTTCAGACTTCAAAAGCTTTCCCAATAGAATTATCTCAGCAAGGCCATTGAGACCCTCAGGGATTCTATTCTAGAGCTTCATATGAACATGAGAGTGATACTTCCGGAAACTAGAGATCCCTTCCTGTCTACCCTTAAGTGCTCATGGGAAACCAGAGAGAAGGGTTCTAGAAGATTCCCATGAGCAGTCTTGCCGGTCAGAGCCATTAAATGAAGAGAGTTTATCTAATCTAATGTCTCTGGCAGTTTGAGGCTCCCAGAAAGATGAAAGGGAAACCTATTCTCCTAGAGCTGGAGAAAACTCTGAAAAACTGGATTTGCAAACACCAGCACACCCGCAAAATGCTGACCAGCTTCCAACAGCACCGAGTCCCACATTTCTACTCAGAGACTTTTCAGAGATGGAATAGCAAACCCAGGCACAAGAACCTAGCAAGAAACCACCAATCAAAAACAAGACAAAAAACCAAAACCAAACCAAAAAACCAAGCAACAAAACAGGCCACACCAAAAACTTTATGCTAGAACAAGAAATAAAATAAGGAGATTGATAGGCCGGCTGATTGTCAGCAAACACAATATATTTACTGTATTAGCATTTGCTCACAGTGCAAATGGTACAACATTACACCATTTCAATATTTCAGTTTTTAAAAATGCTGTTTTCATGAACTATGATATCGGCATAACAATGTGACAAAGGAGCAAATGAAATGTTGGTGAAGAATTTCACCTTTTCACAATATCAAGCATTTTTTTTAAACCTTAGTATAAGGTACTATAAATCCAAGAAATAAAAACATCCACAAAATATATTACATCTGGTTTGTCTTTTTCTAAGTACTCAACTTTATACAAAAGTCTTTCAAAAAATATCATTCCCCATAGGTTTTCCTGTTTAAAACCTGATTTTTTCCCCCTCTCAGTTCACATAAGTTAGAGTGCATTTTGTTTTTGTTCTGTTTTTTTAAACATGCAGACATATAAAAAATCTGGATAGCACAACCTTTTGGCAACAGTTATTTTTCTCTTAGTTTAGCTTAAATGTCTGAGAACAGTTTTATTAAAACAAAGGAAAAACTCAGAGCTATCATGCAGTGACATGCATATACCAGAAGGAGCAAGGAAAAAATATTAAAGGATATTTGATTCCTCCTTCCAGCTTTGAAGTGACCAAATTTTTGTTTTTAATAATCATTACATTATAAAAAGTATTCAGCAAAATACTGTCTCTGCAAAGAAAGATTTTTACCCTTCAGCTGGGGGAAAAAAAAAAGGCCCTCCTGGCATACTTCACCTCCTTCCCTTTCCTTCAAAGTCCTCCACGTACCTGGAAATTCACAACCCCCTGCTCTTCAATTATTATTATTTTACTTTCATTAGAGTCCTCTTAGTTTTAATCCACCACCCCAAAAAATTTTTCCCCTTAAAAAAAAAAGTGGGAAACTCATAAAGTGACTTTAAAAACAGACATTCTGTAAACTCCAGACCTTTGTTCCTTCTCTCTGGGCAGCTTACTGACCACAGGAGAAATAACGCAAATAGGGAACAGCACATTCAGTCAAGACTGTGCTGGAAGCTGTGTCCAAGAGCAGCCTTCTCTATACTCTCCTTGAAAAGAGCCACCCCTACACAGAGAAAGGCTGGACAGGACAGCTGGGGAGGAGGGTGCCTGAGAAGAGGTGAGGTAGGGCAGGGAGAAGGTGAGACTGGAATATGGAAAAGATATGCCTCATTCATCAACATGGAATAATGCAAAATTCTCCTTAACGCCGAGGAACATTTGGAGCTATATATGTATATATATATAAATACACACATATGCACGCATACACACAGGGATACAATCTTGTCAGTTAAGTTTTTCATAAAAAATAAATCATTTAAAGCTGTATATGCCTACAAATCCTCTTTATTCCAGTGCGCTGCACTGGACAGCCAAGTACCTTAGAAATTTAATTTTGCTAGGAATACATATTATGTGTATATGTGTCATATATATGCATGGACATACACGCATATACATACACACACGCGCACACACACACACACCATATGTATATTTGAATTCTGTCTGACAAATGGCAAAACAGAGCCAGCTCTCCCATCCAGGTTGGGAAGGAGAACCGGTCTAGGAGTGAGGAAACAAACAGCGGGTGAAATGGGGTGGCTGGTTGAGGCCTGCCTTTCAGGGAAAGATTGAGCGATGGGAGAAGGGAGAACAAGGGAGGGAAGAGGTGGGGAGGGGAGAGGGGAGATGAGCGAGGGCAAACTCTGAAATACAGATTTTTTGTTTTTTAAAGTGGGGCTGAAGAAATACATTTTTAAAGGCAGGCTCAATGATGGCTGCTCCTTCTCCCCGAAGATCAGACAAACTGCCCTGAGGCCTAAGACGGAAGCACTCGGAAAAGAGGGGTTCTGAGGGGCCAAACCAGAAGCGGCGGCGGCGGCAGCAGCACCGCGGTGGCGGCGGCATCCGAGGCATTTCTGTAAGAAACATGATTTCCGAGCAGATGGAAGACCATCTCGTCCTGCCACGTGCAGGCGCCCAGCCTGGGACAGACCCTAGCGGCTTGGGGACCCAATGTGGGGAAGAGTTTGGGGTGGACACAGGCCAGTTCAGCTCAAGAGTCTCACACGCGCACACGCGCGCGCGCGCGCGCGCATACACACACACACACACACACACACACACACACACACACGAGCACGTACACACTCGCGCGCAACCCTGTACGCAGACGCGCGTGCGTGCGGCGGGCAGCAAGCTCTGCGCTTTGGTGCGCTCTTTACCCCAACCCACCTCTCCTCTGGTCTTCCTGGGGGAACAGAGGGAGACTAGGGGGAGAGTGAGGTGCTTGGGTCCGGCGAGGGGTGGACCGGCCCCACCCTCAGTTCCCTTCAGGTCCTTGGCGCGGCCCAAAGGGCCCCTGGATCAAGGCGATCCGAACTGAACAAAGCAGGCTAGACGCCCCCTTTCCGCCCCCAAAGCCTTGGCTAAGGGGGCAGCTAAGGAAAGACGCCTCTTGCCCCGGGCCCTGACCGTTGGCCGGTGTGAAAAGGTGGGAACGGGGCATCGAAGAGAAGCAAGGGACCGCACGTCCATGGAGAGGCCAGGGCGCGGCCCCTGCGCCTCCGTGGCCGGCTTTCCCACTGCTGTCAGATGAACAGCCGGGAGGCACTGGAGGGAAAAAGTGGGAATCTGGGGGCCCGAGGCTCAGGCGCAGGTAGTGACCACAGGGACCAGGGACACTGGGGGTGCCGAGGATGCAGAGGGCGCTCCCCCCTTTTCGGCCTTCTTCTCCTTTTGCTTGAGGTGGATCTTGGCGTGGCGTTTGCGCTCGTCGCTACGCGCAAACTTGCGCCCGCAGAATTCGCAGGCGAAGGGCTTTTCGCCCGTGTGCGTGCGGATGTGAGTGGTGAGGTGGTCGCTGCGGCTGAAGCTCCGCATGCAGATCCGGCATTGGAAGGGCTTGTGGCCGGTGTGAATGCGCAGGTGCCGGGTCAGCTCGTCCGAGCGGCTGAAGCGCCGGTCGCAGCCCTCCGCTGGGCACGCGTGGGGTCGCTCGTGGAGCGGGGTCTTGCTAGGCCGGTTGGGATACTTGCGTGGCCTGATGGGTTTGAGTGTGAGCGGTGGCTGGGGCAGGCTGCCGAAGCCCGGGTGGATCTGCTTGTCTTTGAAAGCCTTGATGGTCTCCAAGGGGGTAATAGGGGGCGGGTTGACCCGGATAGGGTCCATGCCCTGGAAGGGCTTGTGTTCTGGAATGGAGCCCATGTCGCTGGGATGGTGGTACAGGTTGTAGTCAGGAATCATGGGGAAAAGGTTGCTGTCCAAGGCCGGCTTGGCCGATTGGTAATCCTGGGGGGAATAGGCGAGCCCTGGGTTGCCCTGGGGGTCGTGGAAAGACACGGGCTCCGAGTAGAGATCGCTGCAGTTGGAGTAGGGGGGCAGCGCCGGATACATGGCCTCCACGTCGCCCTGCGGTGGCTGCACCATGCTGGCCGTAGACGTCTGCGTGCTTAGCGTCCCCGAGGCGGGGGGCACCCCCAAGATGCCGGCGCTCATGAGGCTAATGATATTGTCCTGGCACCAGTTAGAAGGGGAGTCGAAGGCGAACTTTCCCAAGTAGGTCACGGTCTTGTTGCCGGGGGCTGGCTGGAAGGAGGCCGAGTAAGAGAGTTCCGGGTTGGGCTTCTCGTTGGGCAGACCGATGTCCATCACATTCTCTGAGGAGAGCGGGGGGAAGAGAGGGAGGGGTGAGCGAAGCTGAGCCGGCTCCGGGACCAGGCGCCCAGGTCCTGGCCCAGGTGCCCAGGGTGCGGCGGGGTGGCGTGCGAAGCGCACTGGGTAAGGAGAACGCGCGGAGCCGGGCGCAAAGCGGGCGGTGCCGCGCTCCCGGGGGGTGCAACCTGGAGACAGCAAAATACTACGGATCGGGGTGTGGAGTGGCTGCCGCGCACACACACACCGCCGCACACGTCGCGCACACACTCACGTACCACACACACATCCACGCGCGCGCACGCGCGCGTCTGAAGCATTGTTGTTCTTCCCAAGGTGGGGCGGGCAGGTGGCTTCAGCTACAGGTAGTTTCAGACCTTGCGCGCTCCGGGCTCGGGGTCTTTCGCTCACCCAACTCGGCCGCTGCCCCAGCCCAGGCCGCTCAGGGACGCTGCGCCTCAGCCCGCCTTCCCGAAGCCCCCAAGCGCGCGGCGCCGGGGTCGGCTACCCAGAGCCCTCCGACGCTTTGTCTCTTGCGTGTCGAGGGGTACCCACGCCCGCAAAGGGAGCTCTCCGGCCCCTGCCGTCTCCCGGCCTGAAAGAGCTTTTGGCTCTCGCCGGAGGAGGAAAGGCTAGACCCAGCTAAGGAGGACTTGGGGCGATGGAAGCCCGGCCATCCTTCCCAGGTTCCCTGGTCCCGGGATCGGCCCCCCCCCCCATGACAGCACACCCCCGTGGGTGGGCCATTCTCTCTCCCCTCCATCCCCACACCCCGGGGCTCTACTGAACACCCTGGAAAGGCAGCGTCGCAGTACCTCTCCCACCGCGGGGACTCCACGCCGCACATGGCTCCATCCCGGGTGGGAGGCTGAGGGAGTAAGGGGAAGAGCGCGGGTGAAAAAGACGCGGGGCTCCTCCCGGGGAAGGGGGCGACAGCACCACGCCTTGCGCTCGGCCCGGCGGCGCTCGGTCCCCAGCGTGGGGAGGGAGATCCCCAGAACCACTCGCACTTACCTCCCTCCGGTTGGCGGCTGCCCCCGCCCGGGAGAACCGAAGCTCTACCGTGGCGTCGCCAAGCCAGCCTTCCCGATCCGGGAGGGTGGGAGGAGTGGGTGGGAAAAGCAACTCGCCCCCCGGAAAATTCCCAGCGCGCCCCCATCTCTGCATGCATGCATGCATCCACCCATCCATCCATCCATCCATCCATCCATCCATCCATCCATCCATCCATCGATCCGTCTCCAGCGGCAGCTCACGTTCTTCCTTGTCTTCTTCCCCTGCCTCCCTCGCCGCCTCCCTGCGCCCTTACCTGTAGCCATCTGATTGTAATGGGCCACCGAGTCGCTGCTGCCTGAGAAGAGGTTGAGGGCGCTGGGGATCTCCTCCGGATACAGATTGTCAGGCAGTTGGTTTAGCAAACTGCTCATGGTCACCGGCAGCTTCTCGGCGAGTTTGCCGGTCATAGCACTCTCGAGCCGCCGCCGCCGCCGCCACCGCTGCTGCGGGCTCCTAGCGCAGCTCCCAGGCGAGCGGCATCCGAGAGGCGGTCGGTGGTGCAGGGGAAAAGCATGCGAGAGGGAAAGTTCGGAGGGAGGGGGGGAAGGAAGAGGGGAAGGGGTGGGCCCGGGGAGGGGATCTCTTTTGGGGGGGGTGGGTGGGAGCAGGGGC